TTCGATAAAACGTGGTATTTCTGAACCCTGCAGATTCTTCTTGTTTTCAATCCTCCTGTTTCAGACCTCAAGTTCTTTATGAAAAGATAAGATAATTCGATAGTCGTGTGACTCTTCGAGATTTTGAAAGTTATTATTTTAAATCGGTATCCTTCCTATCGAATGTTAAATAATTAACGTGCTCGTATTCGAATTCCTGATGAAATGAGAAAGTAATATGTACCTTGTTCCTGGTGGCCGGCATAAAATTATCAGTTCGACACAAGTGCCGTGCACAGTTCTGCCATTACAATGTACGCGGAAGTCTAATGAAATATGTAAATGTATTTAACTGGCGTGTCGTTCGATAATACCTTCTTAAGCGGTTATAAATTCAATATGAGTGTCAAAGCTTTAATTAAAGCCACGCGTCGCCGCGCCGTCTCGTTTCCGCGTGCCAAATCTATCTAAACTTTCGCGACTTCGCGAATGAGTGTCCATCCGGCCAAAATTTCATTTCACAGATAATCGAGAAACTCCGAGATAACAAAGCGAAGGAAGCTTCTTTCTATCTTGGCGTACGAGGATCAATAAAAATAGAATTGTCACATTTTTCCCCGCTCTAACTATCAAACGCACGATTACGGCAAAGAAAAAGAACAAACAAACAGAAGACTGATATTCGCGATAACGTGCGATTAAGCATAGACAACGTAAAAATGAAAGAGCGGGGGACGACAGCTTTACGACGTCGTTTCTTATCGGCCACTTGCCGAGAATATTAATTAAAACGCAATTTAATTTAATGCATTGAATCAAATCATTTTGAATATCCGGCCTCTTTAACGCGTTGTTTGAATTGCAATTGTCCCGCGAACCTTTCTTTTAATTCGCGTTTCATGCTTCATAAAAAATATGACGTGCTCAATGACTAGACGAGTTTCTTAACGATCATTGAAATACACTTCTGGTCAGTTTGAAGCCAATATTCTCCTTGCATTTGTCAATTGTTAAATATCGCGCGCGTTGACAAGTTACGAAATCGAGCAGTTTTATATCGATTTCCTAGAATCTCCGATCATCTTCTTCCTCGACAAACAATTTGGTTTTTCATACGAGTTTACGAAAATTTCCAGGACTGGTTCTCCCGGCAGCAGCTGGTGATGCTGGTGCTGTTCATCAACATATCCTTAGCCCTGATGTTCTTCAAGCTGCTGACGTAGCAGCCAGCCGACGATTGGGTTCACGGGCTCGCGGTGGACGTGACCTGAGGCCCGGGCGCGTCACGACGCTCCGAGTCGTCAGCGAATACCACAGGATAAGAAGCGATAAAGAAGAGGGGCGCGATCCAGTACCCTCGACAGACAAAGTCACGAGGAAAGAAAAGAAAAAGAAAAAGGAAAAGAAAAAGAAAAAAAAAACCGCTGAAAACGGCTTTCGAGCGATCGAACTCGCGGTCTCCCACGGCGTGGTTTGGACGAGCAGAGAGAGTTGCGTGGCAGTAGACGAGGACTATTTCAAGCATCTCGATGATGGGTTCCGCGAGGGAAAGGAAGAAACAGAATAGACGAATCGTTGTCGAAACTGCAGGTTCGGCACGTCTTACGTTACAACGACTTCTCGACTCTATTCGATGTTTTTCGCAAGGACTTCCTCGGCGAGGATTCGCACATGGGGAAAATCGAGTTGTCAACGGGGGTGAGAGGGGAAGGGCGGCTCGTTGTTTCTCAGACAGGGTACCGAGGTCGCCGCGAGGTACCCTGGCGCCTGTATCATACATATTTTTACACCGAGTATTTTAATAATAATAATATTAATATTTGTAAGGGCTGGTCCGCTGGTGGACTCCCGATGGCAGTGGAGCAACCTGATAGACCACGCTCTAGACACGATGCGCACACACGAATCTCTCTACACTTTTCCTGTACTTTCTCGACGAGATCGGCTCGAGCGCGGACACCGGAACGACTTTTATACAAAAAGAAGCTATAGAGCAGCTAGAGTAGCGTGAAAAACAATTTATTAAACGGGAAAGAAGAGATGAGGGAGAGGAGAAATCTCCGCGGACGATCGAGCATATTTTTCAAAACGAAAAAAAAGAAACATTTTGCCAATCAGATCACTGCGGTGATGATCACTTCCGCAATGTTTCGCGAAACGTAGACTCGCGCGAACAACGTGAGAGGGTTAAAAGGAGAAAAAAAAAAAAAAAACAATGAAGAAGTTAGAATTTCTATACAATTGTTACGATTTCTACGAATTTGATAGACGAATGGAGAGTTGTACGTTGTTGTACGTTGTAACGTTGCAAAATATATTCATGTGTTATCGACGTGTCCATGTAATTGTATGAGTGTTATGTGGATATCGATATATAACATAATTGTAATCGTGCAAACAATCCTACGGGAGATCACTTCGTTCGCGAAGTACTTTAACGTGTAGCCTTTGCCTTCCACGTGGAAATTGTACATATAAAAACACTTTTCTCCGATTTTTATATACACGTTAGGATCAAGTCACGCACGTTGTCGCCAAGCGATCCGAACAATTTCTCTCTCGATCGAGGACGACGAGAAAGTAGTCACGGAAGTCGTAAAAATGTTGTTCATTACTGATTAACAAAGGGTTAATAATTGTGTTGTTTAAAAGAGAGACAGAGAGATGGATAAGAAATTGAGAATCCGACAGAAATTATTCAAGATCGAGAAACATTTCGATAATCAATACTTTTCCTAGGCGCACACTGGGCCAGGTTCAAAAGCCAACCTGCGAAGCCTTTGTATTTGTCCGACGAATATTTCAGAGAACGTGCACAATTTTGAGCAATGAGTACGGTGCAATTCGATACATTATGCGTGAATTCATCGATAAAACGAACGCGACGTTCGATAGATTTCGAAACCAAGTTTTTACAAGGGAGATCACATACTTGTATAAAAATTTTTCCCGGATCCTCGTTTCCTTCTGGGGTCCTCTTTAATAGAACAAGATAAAAAACAAACACAAAAGGATAAAAAAGGGGGAAACTAATTGTCTTTTGCGAGGCGTAGTGTACGCCGAATTTTTTCCTTTTTCACACGAGGGTGGCACGAGATTTTCCGAATCTCGAGATCACGTGACGTGAATCGATCGTCGAGGGCCGATCCTCCCTGCGCTCGAGCGGTCGCATTTTTTCTAGCCTCAGGCATAGCTTGTATATCTCTAGGTGAAATTTGTAAATAAAGGGAAGAAAGAGCATTATAGATAACGCGATCGTCACACAATTCATCGTCTGAAATCCTCTTGGTTCGCGCCCATTCGACGCGTTGCACGTTCGAAGTTAGATAAGGGCGACTAATAACAAAACCGTTTCGAAGCTATTTTTCCAAAGAAGAAAAGACTCGCTATTTTCATCCTAATGCTAATTAATATACACGTAATATATATTTTCCTCTTTGTACCTACACGCTAGCACTTTCGAGTACTTAATCGAATGCAAATGTTAGGATGAAAATAGAAAAAGAAAAAAAAAAAGAAGAGAGAAAAAAAGAACGTATGCGTGATGAATTTTATGCGAATCGAGGGTTTGTAC